CCTTTTTTATTTTCCAGAAGATGCCTCACTTTTTTGACTTTAATATATATATATATATATATATATATATATATATATATATATATATTTTAAATGGACGTTAATATCAATTTGACTTTCAATATTATTATGATAATTGTTAAGAAAAATGATTATAAAGATATATATATGTGTCAAAAACTTAAATTTAAAATAGTAAATATTTAACTAAAACTAAGAGTAAATACCCAAAATATCCTTTATTATTTCATAAATTACTTGACTCACTCATGTTTTTCAATAATTATTATGGAGTTTGTAATACCATTTTAAGTTCTTTGTATCGAGGATATCAGGATATCTACAATCAACTTAAATTTATAGGGATATATGCCTAATTTTATCTTTTAATTTTTTTTCTATATAAAATCGTGTGCATTAAATGCTTGTAAAAAGATTTAAAATCATAGCGTAGACCAATCTATTAGTTACATGATCATAAATAAATTGTGATAATCAATGATTCTTGTCACCCTAATACAAGTGATGATGATAGTTATATTCTAATCTAATTATTTTAAAATAATAAAGAATATAGAATTAAAAAAAATTATATGTGACATATTATGATCAGATTGGCCTATACTTGATGACCTTGTATGTGATATACCCCACCCCCATCTAAAAAAATATAAATTTATATTTTTAATGATTATAATTATCGAGTGTCAATAAAAATATTATATTTTATTTAGACACATTATAACCGAATCAATTCACCCGATATAAATGATGAGCATGATATTTTTTGTTTGTGCTATCAAGAGTATTTTGGATACGAGAAAAATAGGAGCATAAATGAAAATAATAAAGATAGTAAAAAAAATAAAGTTTTTTTACGATAATTTACCCTTATTTTTGTTGGAAATTGATAGGGTGCTTTGGATGCTTATATTTTAAAGTTCACTTTATATTATAAATATAATATTTAAAGATTAAAATGCATATTACTGTTATTTTTGTCATTTTTTCCGTCAATATTCTCATATATATTTTGTCTTTGTGTCATGCTAGCCTTTATAGTATCCACATCAGCTACTAGAATTACATGAAGTCAGTCTTTTTAAAGACATTAGTATTGAAATTTTATGACCAATATTTGTAATAATCATGATATTATCTTTTAAATCTTTGACATTCCAATGGGAGGAACAGAATAATAATATTCAGTCACATACATATTTGATGCTTCTCTCATTTGTACTTATTTTTGGGAAACTGTCTTCTGATGTTACATGTAGATGGTATTTTTGTTTCCCCAATACTATCTTGGATATAAAATTATGAGATGAAATGCTCCTATGAAATAACAACAACAATTAAATTGATCATCACAACATATGTTCTATGAGTCATACACAGGAATAGAATCATATCACTTTGACTTCCTCCAATTCTTTCCTTTATTTTCTCCTCACTCCAAAACAATCAAACTACAGTCTTTTAACTACATGCATTTGGCTCATCAAGTGGACATCACACCTACCTTTCTTAGGCAGTCATATTTTCAATATTGAATCCAAGTAAGCATTATTTTATTTATTTTTCTATCTCAGTTGAACATGATTTAAGTGAAAAATGCATGTGAACACATGTATTAAATGGAGAATGATTTATTTTCGAATAATTCCAAACCCAAACCTAAATTTTGATGAAATTATGTGCAAACATACACTAAATGATAGACGGAGAGAAGAGATTAATTTAATGACTTTCATCAAATCATAAGATAATAATCATTTCATAATAAATATTTTTAGATAAATTTTAAGATATATATAAATATTATTTAATCTCCTGTATAATTGGATCCTAGAGACAGTGCAACAGAGTGTCGTATTCCATATAATTTTAGTACATACTCTTAATGACAATGGATACGTCAAGTGACTACATGAAACGTGTACCTGAAGATGCAGAACGAGGTTTTTGGGCTCCACTGGATTCGTCCTGTGATATCAGTGGTAGTTGAGATGGCTACGTACGGTATGATAGAAGTAGTATTTATTCTTCCAAATTAAATTACCATATACACTCCTCGACATAACAAATACGCCTACCGAAGACGTATTGGGTACCCGCGATATGTACCCGAAAAGGCGTAAGCGAGGCGACTATCGTAAGACGTGCAATATATTTATATGCATAACACGTATTCCTCGTAGGATTCCAATACACTCGTGCCCTTTGTTGTATAACATATTAATTTAGCTGATAAATATTAAATGATATTTTCAAGAAGCTTAAGGTTAGTTTATCTGATGAATATTAACAAGATTAGTAGGAAGGGCATTTATGCATATATGAAATCTTCTTAATATAAAAACTGCCATGTAAATGTAAAGTTGTCGAGGGCTTATTTGAAAAAGTGTGAAAAGCTCCGATTCCATCGGCCACAATTCAACATCTTACCTACCGTTCGGTGCATCCGGTGGGTATACCCGACTTCCCACGTTTTGCCGTCCGGAGAAATGTGGGTTCCACCTTTGGTGCCCTATGGTGAGAGACTCGCACTGTGGGTGTCGGTCGTTTGGTGGTACGATTTATTTTCTTCTCTGGTTTCCTCTACTGCTGGCTTTCACATTTATGCCGGTGGAGAGGCGTCGTCTGCGATGGAATCGAGAGCATCAGGAGAATCCCGCTTGCGGCTTCCGCTCGTCAGTTGGCTCCTCGCGATGGCGAGAAATCGAAGCGAAAAGCTGTAAAGCTTCGCTGCTACCTGCATCTCCCGTCGGATCTGAAGTCTGGGCTCTGGGACTCCTCGCCTGATTCGGATCACCCTTGCATTCCGTTCATTTGGCGCTAGATTTGTCCTCGATAATCTGGTTTCTCTATCAATTTTGATCTTTTATGGAATGAGGTGAAGTCGTTTAATGATTTCTCTAGCAAAAGTCTGATCTTTCGGGTGTCGAGATTTGGTTTGTTGAGGGGGTTTATTTGTAGATCGAGGAAGTGAGGGGGGCTCTTTATTGGATTCGAAATGGGCGAGGGTGGGGGTTTCCAGTTGGGAACCGTCGGAGCGCTGAGCCTGTCGGTGGTCTCATCGGTGTCGATAGTGATCTGCAACAAGGCTTTGATGAGCTCCCTTGGCTTCAAATTCGGTAATGAGATCTGATGACTCGTTCCTTATTTTTCTGATTTCTGCTCATTTTTCTGTTACGATAGGAAAGTGCACGACTTGATTGGATTAGGAACGATTTATCACACTGTATCGTAGCTCGCATAACTTGTTTATGCGATTTTTGGAGTGGTGCCGAGTTCTATTCTTTCTCGTATAGTTAATTTGTCCTGTATCATGTGTCATGCAGATAAAAGGTAGATCGTCTGGTGGTTCTTTCTATTTGGTTCACGCTTCACAATATTTTATGTCCGTTAAGAGATCAATTAGTCTAAAGTCACTTTTGTAAACCTTTTGCAATAACATTCTCCTAGGTAAGACATCTAGAGGGTCTTTACATGTTTACCAAGTTGGTGGATTATCAATTTAAAAGTTAGCTTGAAAAATTAAATGAAAAAAAATGTTCAGAATTTGAGAAAGTAAAGCTTGATGTAGATAAAAGAAGTAAGCATTTAAATATAATATTTGAGCTTGGTGGGATTCAGAAGTGTCTGTTTTTATGACTCAAATTGTACTTGAAAGTAAAAGGAGGTATACCCCTCAGTGTTTTCTTTTGTCTTCTTCGCTCCCACGAGTTGTTGTAGAGGGTGGGACATTATATTTTCATCAGCAATTTTCACAGAAATACTTGTGCTCGGAATTCATTTTATTTAAAATCGCAAAAATATTGAGTATTATATGACTACTATTGTCTTATGGCTGACTGTCTTCAATTATGGCTTATGTATATTTGAAACATTTGGTATATATTTGTGTGTGTGTATGTATATATATATATATATATATATATACACACATATATATATATATATATATACATATATGCATATACATATATATACATATATTGGAAATAAATGCAAGTACTAATAGATTTGTATTATCTTATATTGTCAGCCACCACTTTGACAAGCTGGCATCTATTGGTTACCTTTTGTTCCCTTCACGTGGCATTATGGATAAAGCTATTTGAGCACAAACCTTTTGATCAAAAGGCCGTGATGGGTTTTGGAATACTGAATGGGATCTCCATAGGACTATTAAATTTAAGCTTAGGTTTCAACTCTGTTGGATTCTATCAGGTACAGATACATAATTCTTACATAATTCTTTTACAGTGAACCATGTTTCTACAAGCATCTTGTTTTTCCTGCCTAAAACCATGTTATAGAGATTAGTCTGTCCGAATTCTGTATTGTGATTCTTTCTGTCTTTTCGTAGAAACCATTTGCTGATCTTGATTTGTCTTGCTTATGTAATATTTCTTGGACCTACTGCTTTTATAATTTAATAAGGCATTTCAGTTTCTTAATCATTCTACATATAAGCATAAATTTTGTTGTTCTATTTAAATTTGCACATTATAATTATGCTGCAGTACTTCATTTATTTGTCATGTTCAGTGAAATTCAAAAAGATCTTTTGACCTCTTGCTAAAATACCACAGCAAGAATTTTTTTGTACTCTTACTTTGTATGAATGAGATTTGCATTTTTATTTGGCTCTTTGGATCAAGTTTTGCAAGATCAAGAACAGGATGGCCTCGGTATTGGGATTAGGATTGGCTATTCAGGATTAATAACAGAAAAAATAAATAAAATCATATGTATACATGTCAAATTTTATAATGTTTAGAATTTATCTATAGAAGTTCATTAATTTTTGGATTGATGTTGATCCTAATAAGAAAATAGAAGCTAATTATTTGTTTTCCCAACAATGGAGTGCTTTTTTATGTGAATTGTGAAAATCAATGATGCATATTAGTGATACATGAACCAATTAGATCCACAATTTAGAGTTGGGTTGGTATACCCCCTAGTTATTTGTATGGATAGAATTCTGATCAGACCATTCTAGTTAAATACGAGGTTGGAAATATTAGTTGGGGTTAATATCAATTGGCAAGTCTGATGTAAGAATTGAACTTATCAAAATGCAACTGGGGTTCTCGCCTGCCACATTTATTTGTTTCTTTCTCTCTTTCTCATCCATGCCTCCCTTGTCTTTTGTTCTCTCTCTCTCTCTCTCTCCAATAGTTGATTAACAAATATCTCGTTGACATCCTGATGGCCCCATACAATTTTATACTTCTAATTCATTCTTATTAGGGATTGGTTTCCATTTCTGCAAAGCATCTTCTCAGATATAACTTCAAGGATTTATTTAATGATATCTCAGCTTGACTTTGTTTCATTTGTTAGCTATTATGACTTTGAAATAACATTCTAGCGTGACTTTTCGTCCCTGTGAGTGACCACATACCTTAATAAAAGTGAAACCTCCTTTATTATTAGACTATACCTTCAAACACGTATTGGGACTTGTATGCAAAAATATCCACCAGCTAATGAAATGATATAAAGAAAAAAAATAGAGGCTAAGGTGTAAGGCTTAATTGACACCACTTTTGAAGCTAATTTTATCAGTATTGTAAAGCCTTGTAAGTTTCAATGCAATGCGCTGTAGAAGGCCAAAATTCCCTTCTTTATTATTTCTTTTGACTTGTATCTTCCTGACATACTTTTTGCCCAGATGACAAAACTAGCTATTATTCCTTGTACCGTCTTCTTGGAGACTGCATTTTTGGGGAAGAAGTTCAGGTATATATCGAATGCATTCAGTTTTGCAACATTTTCCCATTGTGATTTCATAGTGTTATTATTTGCTAGAAAAAAAGTATGCTGATCCATATGAAGTGATAAAGGTGTCAGTCAAGGGTGAGATGGATATATGATTTTGACTGTTCTTAAATACTGGCATTGCAGTCGGAGTATTCAACTCTCACTTAGCATCCTTCTACTGGGCGTTGGAATCGCAACTGTGACTGATCTCCAGCTTAATTTGCTTGGATCTGTATTGTCCCTTCTAGCAATTATTACAACTTGCATTGCCCAAATTGTATCCTTATATGACAAGCTTTTTCCTTTATTCCTTGCATTTAATCAATCAATTTTAATACTCAGTTACTGAAATTCTGGCAAGTTAAGGATTTAATATATGCGAACCTATGCTAGTAGCAAACCAGCATGTAACAGCATTTATGACATGCTTACAGTATACATATGGGTGAGTTGGCATACCTTTGGCATGACAAGGACCTCCATGCCGATATCTTGCTGCCACTTCACAACATGGCCAAAATTCAATAAAGCCATGATGGACATTACACTTGATATTAAGATGGGGTATTAATTTGACATGTAACTGAGTCATTTTTTACTTTCCGCTGGCCACAAGTTATGGATAGTTCTTATTTTGCTCTTCTATAATACAGTTACATTTTTTTAGGACATTAAATAGTTCACATGACTGACTAGGAACACAGTGAACAGTATGGTATCACATCTGTTTTTGTTTCCCTATCTGATGAAATGAAAAGACAATCTCATCCTAATAAACTAAATGCAACAGATATATATACACTAAAAAGAAAGCTCACAGCCAAAAGAACATTGGTGGCTGTTCGAGTTGGGAATGTTCTTTTGAACTTGAGTGTCCTGGATTTAACAACAAAAATTTTCATTTCTCTTGAGTTTCATAACAAGCCTGAGTAAGGTATGTGTAATAAGAAAACAGAATGTATGGTATAAACTTTCTCCATCTGTAACTTAGTTTCTAACTTGAAATCATGTGACAAGAAGATAAGACTTCAACTGCAGTAGATTTATATGGTACTAAGTTTTCTATAACCGTTCTCTGAGTTATTACTTGTTCCTAATCTTTTATACTGAATGGCTCATGCTTTTGATTCTTGTTTTTAGACCTTAACCATTTGTGGGCAGATGACAAACACTATACAAAAGAAGTTTAAAGTCTCTTCAACACAACTTTTGTATCAATCTTCCCCTTATCAAGCTTTAACCCTTTTTGTATCTGGTCCATTTCTTGATGGGCTCCTAACGAACCAGAATGTGTTTGCATTCAACTACACTCCTCAAGTTCTTGTAAGTAATCTCTTTTAATATTTCCTAGTTAAGTTATGCAGTTCTCAACTTACACTTCAAATTTCTTGTAGGTTTTCATTGTGTTTTCATGCTTAATATCAGTCTCCGTCAACTTCAGCACATTCCTAGTTATTGGGAAGACATCACCTGTGACATACCAAGTTTTGGGTCATCTCAAAACGTGCCTGGTTCTGACTTTTGGCTATGTCTTACTTCATGATCCATTTAGTTGGAGGAATATCTTCGGAATTCTAGTTGCAATTGTTGGTATGGTTTTGTATTCTTATTTGTGCACAATAGAGGGACAGCAAAGAGCTCGTGAAGCATCTGCTCAAATGTTGCAGGTACAATTACAGTTTCTTTATGTAGCCTGCAATTTGCCATGACACACTGAGGTTAATGGAGTGTCGAAAAAATCAAGACTTTTCTTTTCTCAATGTGTTTGATTAGTTCACTTCAGTTTTTATTAGTTATGTATGATACTCACTCTTTTACTAAAAAAATAACATAAATCAGTATTTAGTAATGCATTATGAGTATTATTTTTAAAGTGCCGATTGATAAAGAGTTTCATGTATCTTTTACTCAGCGAAACAGTAGGCATCACATTATACTTGAACTTTTACTGTTAGATATTTTAAATGTTTATGGTTTCACAGCACAAAGAAATTAGATGATGAATAAATATGCAGAAGCAATAATTTGGAATAATGGATAATATGGGCCTGAAGGGGCTAAAAGAACAATTTGCCAGCGACATAGTCCCTTGAGTAGTCAGGGCTGGCACTAGGAGTTACAAAACACTTTCTATTGATATAGTCATCTCAACATAAGCCTGTCATCCGATAGCAGGGTTTCATGCCATCATAGGAGGATCTCCATTGTTTTGTTCTGTAACCATAAATCAATATTTGGAAGCACTAGTTGTAAGTACCTTCAATGCCTCAGTCTAGTTCAGCAGAGATTTCAACCATAAATCAATATTTGGAAGCACTAGTTGTAAGTACCATCCAATGCCTCAGTCTAGTTTAGTTTGCATCTATGTTATGTTCGTTTGTAAGAGATGCTGTTTCTCTATCCTCTGATGACTCTAGTGGAGGTAGCTTGGCAAGAAACTTCGTCTAAAGATGCATCATAAGGGATTGGTTTTTTTTTTTTGTTTCCAGGAGTATCCTGGATCATATTTGTGCCATAAACATCTTATACACTTTTTTCTTGAAGATGCTTTTATTGAATGGAAGTGTGGATCTCATTCACATGATAATCAGACTGTTGCCATTCTCAATGTGATTTGAATATATTTTTCTGACTTTGTTACTACTTTAAACTCCTCTCTCTGAAATATAATGAAATGCAGCAAATTTCACATGTTCTAATATAGTCATTTTCACAGGTGAAAAATAATGAGTCTGATCCTTTGATCAGAGCTGAAGCTGGAGCTGGGCATAAATACTGATGGTGCTGCTCCCACAGCCGATAATTATGGAGCTCAAACAAATCTTTGCATGCATCATCATGCAGAAACTTTGAGAATGTCATGATGCATAAGGATTCTAAGAGAAGATCCCATATGCTTTCAAATTAAACCAGTAACTTTGCGGAATGAATTTGGAGGGCCAAGTAGCTATCTGCATGTGTTTCTTGTGTGCAATTCTTTTTCTAGGTTCCTACAAGATATTAGTACAGAATATTCATAAGTTGTGTCCTTAATTTGTAACTTTATACTTTGCTGTTACTCTACGCAAGATGGAATGATGATGAATCATGAATCCATCATTCTTGCCTCATAACACTTTACTGCATAGTAAAGAATTTGTATTCTTCTTGTTCATAAGTATGCCCTCATATTTGTAACTTACAGACTTTGTTGTTGCACCATGAAAGGTGAGGTGATCGAATCATGCATTCCTTCTTCTTATCTGCCTCTTCTCAGAAAAACCTCATCACTTTCAAGTTGTATAGTCTCCTTTTCTGAATGCTACGCTGCATATAAATAATGCATATGTCAATTGGAGGCATTTAAACAAGTAGCAGAGGCAAGCTTTTGGTTTTGGTTCACGAGTTATAACCCGGTTTGGACCAAACCGGAATGCATCCCGGTCCAATTAAAACCTATTACTCACTATCGGATTCGGACTTTCAGTAACCAAAACCGGGTCGTCATGGACTATATCGAGCCGGTTGTAAACCGGTTGATATGAAACCGAAATCGCCTCCGGTCCAATGAGGACATTATCGTAATTATGGAACACGTTCGGGGGTTGAAATCTACTGAAACTATCCCACTCCCTAAACAGCTGCGTCGGGCCACTCACTCACTCGCTCGCTGCCTGCCATGGCTCTCCGAACCCTCTTCACCAAGAAAGCCCTAACTCGAGCTTCCGGCTTGGGGCCCCTTGGTGCGGCCGCCGGGGATCGGGGCCTTGGATCGGGTCTCGGCCAGGCGCGGGGCCTCACGGCCGCCAGCCTCCCGGACCTGCCCTACGACTACGGCGCCCTCGAGCCCGCCATCAGCGGCGAGATCATGCGGCTCCACCACCAGAGGCACCACCAGGCGTACGTAACCAACTACAACAACGCCCTCGAGCAGCTCGAGGCGGCCGTAGCCAAGGGGGACGCCCCGGCGGTGGTCCGGCTGCAGGGCGCCATCAAGTTCAATGGTGGAGGTTCGTCAACTAATGGGCCTTCTCTACTTGGTCTTGTTTTTCCTAGCTTCGGATTGGGTTATTGCTTAATGGAACCCATTTTGCCTCTGTTGCGAGCTTAATCCAAGTTTGTGGTTGCGGTATCATCGTTACTCATGTGTAGCAAAGCTCCCATCTTTCTAAATTTGCAAGCGACACAATTAGTTCTTTCAGAAGTCTCAGAAGGAAAGAAGGCATGATTTGTTATGTGGAGCATCTCAGGATTCGGAAAATTGTTGTTGTACCAAACTTCGGAATCGATCAGACTTTGTTGTTTTCTAAATTTTAGGAATTAATGGGTTTTCGTTATCTCTTTTATGATGTTTGTCCTGTCATTAACTCTGTTGCTAGCTTTAAAGTCTTGAATCCGTTATTACACCTCTAGTTGGCTGAAATCTGTTCCACATTACTTTCTAGGCACCTTTTGCTGTGGGTTTAATAAGTTCTTGTGGTTAAGGATAACGGTATCTGTGGATTTTTGGTATGAGTTACTTGATCAAGGTATTTTGATGTTTCTCGCAGGTCATATCAACCACTCGATCTTCTGGAACAACCTCAAGCCTGTAAAAGCAAGTGCAAAATCTCCATCCTTATTACTTACCGAACATCTTTCTTCCTGTATTTCTGCTTCAACAAATGCTGGGTCTTCTATTTTCTTACTTATAGAAGATCTTGTATCTCTGCTTCCATAATTATTTATAATGAAAAAAATCTTGCAGGAAGGTGGCGGTGAGCCTCCACACAGTGCACTTGGTTGGGCAATCGACACAGACTTTGGTTCCTTAGAGGCTTTGGTGCAGAAAATGAATGCAGAAGGTGCTGCTCTACAGGGATCTGGATGGGTGGTGAGTTTAGCCATATAGAATAGATTTTAAATATTTACACAATAACAAAATCTGGTATGTTTTCTTTGGGTGCATGTTCTACTATTGCTTCTTGCTCATTCTCTGTGACTGTCCTTATGTCAGTGGCTAGCTCTGGATAAGGGAAGTAAGAAACTCAGCGTTGAGACCACTGCAAATCAGGTTAGATTTTTTGTTCTAGATTTGTCTATTATTCCCCCCCTCAAACCCCCCCCCCTCCTCCCAACCCACCCACAAAAAAAAAAATTCTTGCATGCTTATATGGTTCCAAGTACATGATTAAATATGTTCTGTGTTTCTTTTGTGGTTTTGATGGTGAAAGCTAGCTATACTTTCCTGTAATGTCAAAGTTTCACTTTAACAGTTTTTCACTAGATTTATATTTATGATACAAAAATTATCAAATGAATAGTGCAATAATGTTTTGTAATTTTAGATGGACTGGTGGGTGTGATTGATGTTTCTTTTCATCTATCATATTTCATGTGAAAACTGAGGTAATACTGTGGGGAAAAGAGAATATCTTAGGACCACAAAACAGTTGCCAAACTACTTGTTCTTTCTGTGTTTCAAATAATTGTCAAAAGTTTGCCATGTGATGGCTTGTTCTACGGATGAAATCACATACCTAAATAGTCTAATAAAACTTGGAGCATAGGTTGATATTGCCCATGATATAGCTAAATATGATGGATTGACATAGCTTATCTAAATTGGTGAAACTTGATATTATATTCTTTCTCAGTTCTCTATGATCCTTAAGCTTTTATCTGTTCTTCTCATTGAACTCCAAACTACTTTTAGTTTTGCTAGAGTAATTATGATGCCAATCAAACCTTTTGGTTTTTGTTGCTGGTACCTGGCACCTGATATGTCATTATTCTTTTTGTCATTTTGTGGGTTCTTGACTTGATATTTTTAATTAATGGAGTTCAACATTTACAAGTGCATCATAAGTTGATTTGTTATTTCCATTTCAGGAATGGAATATTTCCATTTCAATAATTTCCATTCCTGGTTGATGCCTTTTGCACTTATTCTTCCATTTCATTTGTTTTGTGTGTGTTTGCCCAAAAGGACATTGGCTGACCGATCCATTTGCAGGATCCACTGGTGACAAAAGGTTTGCACATGGTTCCTTTGCTTGGTATTGATGTTTGGGAACATGCATACTACCTGCAGGTAAATGCTGACCATTTTGCTGGTATGCCAGCTAACCGTTCTGTCATGCACGCATAAATAAATGAAAATAGAACTAAGATCCCTCTTCAGAAGCACGTCAACTCCTGCATTCGTACAAGAATTTTTCTGATTGACATGGGTGTATACTTGTTCGTGATTCTCTGTGATGGATCGCAAAATAGGCATTCATTAAGTGGCTTGTTGAATGTGAATGAATGTTCACATAGAGTGCTACTGAAGTATGTGTTCTTATCAAATATTACATCAACACACATATTTAACAAATTTATATGATCCTTCAGAACACCATAACTATAATTTTAAATTTTGATGTTAAAGAATTGTGACACTACCAATTTATGTTGATAACTCTTAGAAATTGATTGCTAGATCCTTCATACGTATATCTAGGTTGTTTAAATGGCTAGATCTAAGACAATGCTCAGTTCAGTTGTTGATGCGCCTGATCATCTTAAATTGGGCATAGATGGATTGCTGGAATTGCATTCACATAAATCCTTTACCCTTAGTCGCACATGCTCCCTGTTGTGTTTTGTTTTTGTTTGATCTGTAGTCATATGCTTCCTTGTGGTGTGTCATTTTATGCATGCAAACACTGTTTCCTGAACAACTTTCCACTTTATTGCAGTACAAGAATGTAAGACCAGACTATCTGAAAAACATATGGGATGTGATAAACTGGAAATATGCCAGTGAAGTGTATGAGAAAGAGACTGCATAATGTTTGCTTTCATTCTCTTCCCGGTCGTGTTTAATCTCGAGGAATTTTGTATCAAATAAGGTAGTTGTCGTGACATGACGGAAATTACACTTCATTGCTTTCAATTAAATCTGCAGTATCTATCAATGCCCCAGGTTTTTCTCTTTACCAGTAGATCTACTCATGTATCAATTTAGCAACTGGAGTATATATGGTACCTGTCAATAAATTCATCGGATTTCGGAAAAAAGGACTAGAGCCTTTTGGAATTTCAAATTGTGTTATTCGGAAGTGCATGGGGGCTTACAAAGTGCTACTGGTGATTCCAGCGTGATAGGAATGGCAATCGCTGCTGCTTCCTATGTGGTATGGAAGAATGTTGCTCTGAATCTACTCATCTTGCTCTACAGATGTAAATTGCAGTTTGGTCCAGTTCTTTATTTAGGCTGGATAAGGCTTAAAAGACTCCATTTCGCTTGTCTTTGTTGTGTTACTGTTTGGAAAAAAGTTACTCCCATATGCTAATTGGAGACGAAATGTCTGGTTTCGTTAGATCAAATGCAGAAGTACATCTTGCTGAGCTATTAAGCAGCTAAGATGAGCTTCTTCAGATCAAAGAAGTTTTGTTGATCTATCAGAGAATTATGATGATGTATTAATTATATTTATTTTCTTACTTTTAGTGTGACATTTGGTATCTCTACTTAAAAGATTGGTGGATATTGATTGATATATCAACTTCAAGTTGTTGACATGTCTGTCATTATCGACTCCACATGTCACTTAGGGTCAAAATCCATGAGGCGGAAAAACTTGTGCTCGTAAGGCGACGGATTCGTCTCCAAGCACAGTTAGTCACGTTGATAATTTGTTACTATGAATTCGGTATCAATCACGATCTCAATCCATTTGATAGATTTGATCTTTGACCAAATCACTTCGAAATCAAAAGATTCTTATCGGGTGGGTATGTCTGACATAATTCTTTCGAATTTGATACCTCGATTGACTCTCAATCATCGACTATATAGAACTGACTTTGATTGATTCTCAATCATCGACTATATAGAACTGAGTCTCAAAATTTCACTTAGATACCAATTATTATGATTTCAGCTAAAAAAATTTAATTTATAAAGTTAATATATCAAAAAAAATTAATTAGTAAAATAATCGATTTATTCTAAGTTGCACAAAATATTAGTAAAATAAGACATTATGTCGGGATAATTATATATTAGCCCATGTTGTTAGTCATGTTAACATCTCGATTTTTATACTTAAAAAAATACATTTATAATTTAATATTAATATTATTTTTTTATATTATTAATTTCGATGGAAAAATTTGTTATCACGAGTAAAAAAAAGAATGAATAAAAATATAATTTTATTATTTTTTAAATTATTAATTTTATATAAACTTTGCATTTCCTTTCTCCTCGACTTTCCAGACTGCTCGCCCGCCTCACCCGCTCGCTCACCGGTCGCCCGCCGCTTGCCGGCCGCACTACACCCACATGACCTTCTTATGGGGCAAGAACTCGGAGATCCTCTTCATGGGCTGGCCCGGCACCAGGGGCAGCATGTATGCCCTCGCTCTCGGCGTTGGCCTCGCCTACCTCGTGATGCTTGCGGTCATGTCGGTCATGTCATTCCTGCTCTTCGATAGCACGACGTCTCAGAAGACGCCGCTACAGTCGGCTGGCGGTGGCATACGAGGAAATCTTATCTTCGGCCAGCGACCAATGCCGCTGAGAAAAGAAAAGCTTCGCCCTTCCAATCCTTATCTTCTTCACCGCGATAGTCTTCGTTGATCTGTCAACAATCGACAATAATCGACGGACTTAAGGAGAACGAAGGGTGGACTTAAGGGGAATGAAAGGAACGCCTGTGCCCTCACAACAATAGCAATCGCAGCAGCAACAATCTGCTCTTGCTCTACTCATGACTCTTGCTTGTAAACCATTCTTTGCATCGATGGTATCGAGCATCTCTATTGAGGGAAATCTTCTATTCTGTTGAGGAAAATCCTTTCTCCTAATCTGTATAAATAAAAGAGGGATAGCTTAATGTATTGAAACTAAAGCTTCTTCAAAGTTTCTTCTTCTTGTATTCTTTCGAAACGGTCTTCCGCCCACGGTTTGCCGATATTTTGTGTCTGGTATGAGTTTGAAGTCTTGCATCCTAATAAGCCTTACTTGTATAATAAGCTGTGACAGAAGCTTTCTTGGCATTTGAATTCATCTATCAGAAATCTCTTTGTAACCATCATGCATTTGTGATTAAGAAGAATGGTTGGTGGCTTATGAGCAATTAAGACTACAACAACATTCTTACGTTTTGTTGAAATCTGCAAATATTGAGATGCTTTATAAGTAAACATTGTGCTACTGTTTGTCTACAATCATCAGAGAAAAAAAAGAAAAGGTGTGCTAATCTCCCTTTGCTTCACAGTAGATTCCTAACACAGGGATCATGTTTCATGTCCTGTAGTCCAATCGAGAGAAGTAGCGATGATTCCATCATCTACTTTTCAGCTTAACTGCGTATTGAACAAGGCAGGTTTTGTCTCTGGATTGCTTTTGGGTTTGTTAGAAGCTACTCTTTGGCTTAAAGTGAACTCAATGATCAAACACTCGTTAAAAGATTACATCATGCAAAATCTTTTTCTTTGTGGAGGACTATATTTCAAAGTGAGCAAGTACGATGGACGAGCCGATGTAGCAGACGAGCAACGAACGATAAGTGTAGCGGGCGAGTGATGAGCGAAAGGTGTGACAGGCAAGCAGGAAGGTGCGACAGGCGATGGACGAGTAGTTTGAAAAAAAAGGAGAAGAGAAAATCGATCTTGGACGAAAAGTTTATATAAAATTAATGATTTAAAAGATAATAAAATCATATTTTTATTCTTTCTATTTACGTTTTTTTTTCATGTAATAACACGTGCGATTTTTTCATCAACGATGTTAATGATGTAAAAAGAATTGATGTTAAATATTTCACCTTCTTAAGTATAATGATCTAATACTACTTTTTAAAGTATAAAGATCAAAATATTAATCATAATTAACTATAAGGGTTAATATATAAATAGTCCTGCTATATCACTGTACTGTATGCAAGACACTGCACTTGACCAAATCTTAGCAAATAATTCACACTCGGGAATGAGAACATACTGAGTTCCTTGGTGTTGAGATGGCCATATCCAACACCCAGTGGCAATCTGCAGACTGTCGGCTGAATCTTGCACATAGTGGGCAGACAAGCAGATTCCCATCATGCAAGTGGCAGGAACAAATCAAGATGGCCATCCAATTATTCCTGAAATTAGAATCTAAAAGGACAACGAAGAATAATTGATATGGCATTTTGTCTTGATATTAGTTGAGCCTTATTGTCAACAGATATCTGCGTGCAATGTGTGCAGCCCACCGAGTTCTTTTCTTTCTCTTTTTCCAAGGACAGTGATGCAGCTGAAGACCCACCCAGGTTGAGGAGGTGAGATGGAAGCAGAATGAAGTTAAAAGGTCACAGATCTGAGTGCTGTAGAATCGATGAGTGGTTGAAGAAGAAGCCGTGGAGGTGTGAGATCTTGCACCTGACTACAGAACATGAACATTCTGCACACACAACTTGACAAGGATTAGTTCATTCTTCACACAAGTGTGCACTACATGCCATGGCCTTGAGAATGTGTCCACAATTAGACGGATTCCAGAAACTGAACTCCCCACATAAATCCATGTTCTCGTGGATGAACATGGATACTGTCGATAGCAGCCAGTTATCCAGCAATTACTGGCAAGTTTTGCAGTCCCTGTTCTATGTATGCATCAACAAGCTACAGGGAGGTGATGTGAAGTTTCAGTATGATCTCTGGGCTACTTCTTCTGCTATTAGTCTTCTGAATCTGATGAACAAGGGTGTTATGGAGTTCTGACTTGCGGTTCTGCAGACAATAAACCAACTCACAGTTGAAGGCCTGCTTTCTACTGATCTAAGTTGCATATCTAATACAAAAGAATCCAAGTGCTGTAGGTGATACCAGAGATATTTGGAGCTGCTAGATCTAGCATTTGAGTGTCTGAGAGAAAAATATCTGGAGTTGTGCAATCTTAGAACTATAGCAATAGTAATGTACTAACAAAGAATCCAAAGGACATCTGAAGTACTTGGAACTCAGACATGAGGGTTTTCTTTCTCTGCTACCTATTAGAAGCTCTTTCATGTTGCCCAAGCCTTTCACCTTTTCATTCTTTTTTCATCATCCTTAAGGTGTAAAGTCCAATGCCTCATATGCCAGCATATCATAACAAAAGCAGCTTTTGTTGCACTCATGCTTTCCTCCAGTGTCTTGCTTTATTGGAAGTATCTTTTTCAGCTGGTTGAGGAACACTGAATTATACTTTGGTTTATGCACTCCATCCTTGAAAGCTGTGAAAGCATCTGTGTGGCCAGTGTAAATTTCCAAGCCTATTGCCAGATTTATACATGTAACTTTTCAATTATGTTGGAATTTGAACTTGATAATGCTCATAAAACATAACAAAGGGTTGATGACAGAAAGTGATGGCAGGTGGGGTGTCTCCCCCTTTGGTGTGCCTGAAGAAAGGAATCGTGTACTGCTTAAAATGATCCATCTTCTCCCATGGAGGAAAATTATTTGGGGTCCCCCAAAGAATGTACCAAATATACTGTTGATGAGTATTACAAGTGAGAGAGTCAACATGATCCCTTTGCCAAGTCTCCAAAAGAACTGCAGTTTCTACCACCTACCATCTTCTGATACACAAACAGACATCTCCAGAGTACAACTTCACCACCAAAACAAGGTCAAATGTAGAGTTTGTGAGTGTGAAACAAGTAAAGAAAGTTACAGGGGCTTTCAGGGATTGCTTGGACCATTGGAAATGTACAGATTGGCATGACAAGCCTTGTTGAGTTGCAAGGATGTTTGGAATATGACCACTTGATTAATATGACTATGACTTGCCAGTTGTAAGCAGATTAGTTTTCAACCCTCATGAATGTCCATATCAACTTACAGGGGAGTAATGCACATGTAAAGAGAGTCTTTAAGCATTCTTTTTGCAGTTTGTGTGAGTCTTAATGCCTAATCTCTATCAGAACAAATATGAGCTGCAAAACCCAAGCTTTGGATCAAACACATGCAGTGAGAAAGAAGGAAACTTGGCATTACTGCAGTATAATTAATCCTTAAGAGTTATCTTTCGGAACTAAGTATATATGATTACATTCTAATATCAGTTAGAACAAACCAGATGTGCTCGAAAACCTTGATGATTACTTCGTGGTACTCCTTGGAATTCAGTGACAGGTAGCAAGCAAGCAGCTCCTCCAAATCCTTGGCTTCCCGGATGTTGTTCTCCACGATCATCTCCACCATCGACTCCGTGAAGTCCCTGCTGGGGTTTGAGGACGACTTGATCATCACCAAGCTCTGAGATACTGGCCGCCGCTTCTGCTGCGTCGTTGCCACCTTGGGTTTCCTACACGCCTGCACCTTCCTGCTTCCGACCCTGGGAGAGACTTGCCGTACCTTGATCCCATGGATTCCTGACACCGATCTCCTCGTTGCTGCCTTGCTGTGATCCGTGAAGGCACCGGTTTCATGCAGCGCAGGCTCACGTACCTCCTTCTTCACTGGCTTTGTCAGAATGGGCGGTAGCTTGAGCTCTGACACCACCAAATCCATGTCCGCATTGCGGTGATCGTACACTGATGGGTTGGTAGGCTCACATGGATCGCACTCATCACCATAGATCGGCAGACTCACAGGGGCTGCAGTGCGACGGCAGCCGCAGCTGGCCGACACAGCCGAGGAGACGACGTCAGCGCAGGGCTTCGTCGCCGTCCTTCTTCGGGTCTGTCGCTTGGATTTCTGCGGTGGCTCGCCGGGGAAACGAGTGTCGGATGCTTTGGGGTTGACGGGAGAACGAGGGAGCTTCTCTGCTCGTTCTTTGCTGGGGGTGTAGTAGGAGGCCCTGTTGGGGAGGTAGTCGTGTTCTTTGGGGGGTTGAAATGGAGGCAGAGATGCTGCAGAAGCTGTGGCCGATGCTGAACTCTGGAATCTCTTCATGGAATGCTGAACTCTCCGGCTTCCATTAGCTCTTCCCACATCCTTGAGCTTGTAGAACCAACTGCTTGACATCAAATCAGACAACCTAAACCTATAATTCCCCATTTATGATGAAGCAGTTCTCCAACACATGCACAGACTCAGTAACCACAAGCAAGAGAAAAGCTAGAAACTCTATCTTGCATTAGTCAGCAACACACACAAACACACAACAGCTCTCTCTCTCTCTCTCTCTCTCTCTCTCTCTCTCTCTATCTCTCTGTGGATGTTCTTGGTTTGTGGTGGGGAGGTTGATATAGAGAGGGTGATGGGAGATGAAGAACAGGGAGAAGGTGGATCATGGTTGAAGGACTGGGTTTGTGTCCTTGAGCTGATGGAAGGGTCAAAGTCAGGAATAGGGTAGAATCCATAGGAAGATATTAGATATGTTTTCTCTCCGAAAACAACCTGCAGAGGAATCAGTTCCTCATCTTTTTCATTTCAGAGCATTCCTGGAATTTTAGATAAGAGCAACGAACATAATTATAGGGTGTGCTTGTAGGCAGACAAAAGAAGAATGATCAGGTAGGGGTCCATGGTGGAGCATTGAATGCAGATGTTAGGATGGAATGTCTTTCTTGCAGTCAAATAATATGATCCTAAGAAGAATACGATCAGCTCAAGTCTCCAAACATGAGTTCGTTCTGTAAAAGAAACTTCTTCATCCAAATTCACATTGATCTGCTGTCATCTCTCAAGGAGAGAGAACCAACCAACCTGCCATTTACTCTCTTTCTTGCTAGCCATTTTGAGCAACAAGAATAATGTCATGAATTCAACATGAGTTCTGATATCAAGAAAGAAAACACACACACACAGAGTTCCTATATGGAACCAATGCAGTACATCAGATTGAGCATTTTTGGAACTTCCAAGGGAAGAAGTATGTCCAGTCTGTCCACTTTTCATCTATTTCGTTGGATGATAAAGTTTGAGACTAATTTGATTCATGCAAAACATTTAAGTCTGATTAACAACATAACAATTTTATAATGATTTTTTTTTTCAAGGAACAAAATTAATTACTCGATCGAAATCGGCTTAATGAAACATATATGGATATGAATCACTGAGGTAGCTACTGCTTAATGAAGAATATATGGATATGTATCACCAAACAGAAACATCCAAAGAATACTAATATCATTGCTTAAAAGGAACATAAAGTTGCTCGGTTTAAGAATCCACAAAGACAGTACCGAGTTCTCATGAAAAGGATGAGACCTCTTAGAGAAACTAGAAGACTCGTAAAGCATTACTGATTTCCAATGCATAATCTTTTTCCATTTCCAAAGCATAAATTACGTCTGAATCTTGACTCAGAAACCTCCAATGGTATGTAATTAACCTCATAAAATTCATAGAATCGATCTGAAATCAGTCCTGAGATTTTACTTCCTTGGAAAACTAGAAGACTAAGGTGGGAAGACACTCCTGTGTATTTTCCTCTAATTCAGGAAGAAGGTGCTGTAATTAGAGAGGTAACTCCATTGATCATTGACGACTGTAGCAGCAGCGGAGCTCGCGAGTCCACGGCGGAGATGTGAGGATCCGACCTCAGCTGCAGCCACCAAAGCGGACCTCTGCTCTCATAGCATGGAAGGGGACCAAAGCAGAGGTGTCCACCTCGGTGCAGCTCACTGCTGCATGGGTTTCTTCTCGCTCTGCTATCCACCTGTGGCTGCCGTATGAACAAGTGATATGGCATCTGTCAGCTTCATCAAATGACGTGCATGACGCTCACACATGGATTCGAATACGAGACTTATTATTTTTACAATAAATATATTAAATAATAAAAAAATCGAGTAAATGAGTACAATATAAAATAGCATTATATATATAAAAAAAAGATAAATAAAATAAATAAATATTTTGATATTGCTCACCATCAATATAACTAAATTAAATTTAAATACCTAAACTAATTATATTATTTGACCCCTCATATTTCTCAACATTTTTGGAAGGTATATTAATGATAAATGTAGTTTCAACGTCATTATAGTAATAATGAATTGATGACTACCAACAATACCGATCAAACGCTGTTGTCACCGTTTCGTTGATGTTGAGGTGGAACGAGAATAGTTGCGGTTGACCAGTCCTGTCCATGAAATATTCATCTACATAATTTGACTGTATTACTACTTATCATCATCCTTACACTCAAATATGCGAACATGCATCATAATGATAAACATATTGCATGGTACATCATGATGTGTGATTGATGTGCGGGTGTGGTGGATGGAGAGCTACTTGGTGTCCTTCATATTAATGGAGAACAGCGACTGCACGCGTAGCCTCCGACTCAGGCCACCGGGGAGGCAGAAGGCAGCAGTGTCAACGTCCCATCGGAGACTTGCGGAGCTCGCCATGTGGGGGCACGTCGGAGACTTCATCAGCCACGAGGGGAGATGGAAGTGGAGGCGTAGGGAGAGGAGGTGGCACAGTCGATAAGGGTCCCCAGACGCGGATCAGAACGCGACGTCAGGGCCAGCGGAAGTGGACGAAGGACGCCGAAGGGGGGCGCAGAGCCGCTGCTGCGCAGGCGGAAAGCACGGCGAGAAGAGGAAGGGAGATGGGGAAGACAAGCCGCGTGGCTGCGGTACATGGGGGATGGCGGAAATGGCGGCGAGGATGGCGAGGAAGACGAAAGGAAGCGGGGGAGGACAAGTGGTTGATGATGGTGATTGCATTGCGTACGTGCCCCCGAGAGAGAGAGAGAGAGAGAGAGAGCAACATATTAAAATTCATGCAACCCAATTCAAATAATTTTAATAGATACTTTAATTCGAGTTAAATCCAAACTTGATTAATGAATATAATAATGTGACTTATATATGTCCCATATTTGGATGGGTATAAGAAAAATCTCAGCTAGTTTCGTATTATAAGAGAGAGAGAGAGAAGGTTGAGATGGAGGGAATGAGAATTCAGCAATTTTATTGGTTGGGCCTAACCACATGATGACTTGACCCTGTGAGTTGGGCTTGTCTTCTCCTTCTCCGTCATTCTTCACCGTCCGTCGGAGAAACGAGCTTTAGAGTTCCGTCGAGGAGAGATAAGTTTCTCTACCTTCCTCACTGGCCGAGCTTCCCAAATCTCTTTCTAGAGATGAACTTGAAGGGGATTGGAAACTCGCGCTGGGCCTTCACAGTCTCTTTGTAGAGACGAAATTGAAGACGAATGTAATAGTTGAAGGATCAAAACCTTTTGTATGTCGCACACTAATAGTGTGGCTCTTTTGCGAACAACACAAAACCTCTCTCTCTCTCTCTCTCTCTCTCTCTCACACACACACACACACACATCTTCCTCCAAAGATAGTGGAAAAACAAAAGGCTTGACTTGTCATGATGCCACAACGGAGCTGCAATACTATACATATATCAGAAATACCTTATAATTAGAGCCTTACATATGTATTCATAGGAAACTAAAATCCGATTCATGACAACATAAAATTACAAAAGAAAGGCAAAAGACACACAGTTGCCTTGTACTCAAAGACTGCCTCTTCTTGTTCTTCTTGCTTTGCTTTGCCAAGACATGGAGGGGGCTGAGAGACTAGCTTAACATTTACCTTGTACTCAAAGACTGCCTTTTTTCTTGTTCTTCTTGCTTTGCTTTGCCAAGATCAGCGGCAGGCTGACAAAGCCTAGCTTCTTCCTCTTTGCAGAAAACTGCTTGAGAGGAGACACACTGGTGTCCCCCTGGTGAGACAAAACTCCATGCCTTTTGTTCAGCATTTGACCCAGTGAAACCTTTGGCTTCTCGTTTTCTTTCTCCCATACTCCCTGGTCATACTCCTCCGGAGAATCAGGATCCATCAACTTCATGCTCAGTATCTGCCCAATTGACAATGGTGCCCTTAATAAACCACCGCTTGGCATGACGGAAACTAAAGTTGAGCCGTTTGAGTCAAGCACATGGGAATCCTTGCCGTGGTGAGCTGCATAGTTCTTGAACTTCGTAGAGTTTTGAACACTGTGCCTCTTCTGACCATGTTCGGATCTCGTCCATCTCCGCAGAGCATCTTCAACTGTGAGCTTCCCTCTGTTTGCCGCCTCTACCCTGTTCAGGGCATTTTCAAGAGCTTTCTTGCATTTTTTTGCCTCAGCAGTTGCTTCTTCCACCTTCATTAGTAACTCTGATTTAGACCGGTTTGCTTCATCTACTTGAAGCATGGCAACTTCAATTTTCTTTCTAGAGGCTAGATCTGCTACTTGAGCTTTACTTGTTAAGGCGATGTACTCCTCCACTGAAAGGGTTATGCCACATGCGTCCTGAAGACCTGTGATTAAATTATTACTGCTCATTAAAGCTTTTATATCAGCGAGAGACAGATCCTCTGCTGCTTTGGCCGCTTCTTCCGTTTTCTTAGCCGCAAACCATCGGAATTCAGCCGTCTTGATGCTAGCCTTTGTCTGCTCAATCTCAGAGGTCAGCTTAGTAACTTCATTTTTTGTAGCTTCCATCGTCTTCTTTGACTGTTCTATCTCAGAGTTCAATTGTTTGATTTCTTGCAAAAAACTACAGGGATCTTCACATCTTTTACTCTCTAGATCTTTGACCTTTCGCAATTTTGCTGTTGTCTGATTAAGATCTTCCTCCAGGAAGGAAATCAAAGAAGTCCTGACTGTCAGCTTTTCCTGGACATTCTCAAGTAAGAGTTTTTCCTCCTCTATTTTCATGTTCAGCATTTTGATGGAAGTTCGAAAACCAACCATATCACTTGTTGTCCTGTTTAAAGTTGCCTTAGCCTGTTCCAGTTCCACTAAAATCAGTCCTGGAAATTGGTTCACCCCTATGCTTGGGTCATCCATATCCTCGTTCTTCTCGAGGTCAGTGTGTTCATATTCTTCATCTTCAGGAATAGGATGAACATATACATCATATGAGTCAATAGCCGGCATTGCAGTGGCATCTGAGGTTTCTTTTTGTAATCTCAATTTCAAACCATCCACAATCTTTTTGGTTAATTCAAGCTCTTTTAATACATCAAGTGTTTCCCTTTCTTTCAGGATAAGATCTTTCTCCAGCTGTGCTGCCTGTTCCACCACTTTTATGACCTCGACTTCCTCGGAGCACTGGTGCTTCTAATGGAAAATATGGCAAGTACAACTCAATAATAGATTATTCGAAAGGAGTGTGATCGAAATAACAAGTTATATTTGTCCATGTTTGACTGAAAATAGAGAATGAAAAAAATCACTGCATAAGTACTTTTATTGAAAGAGAATAAAATCTGAATTAATTGCATGAAAGACAAGTTCTTTTAATTTGGCTGAGGCATATACATAGACAACCAACAGCATAAGGATCGTAAAGTTGCATACATAAATTTCGTTTTGCTGATATTTCATGGAGAGAAAAAAGGGTATCATTGTTAAATGTCCATAAAAGAGGGAACAAAAAAGCTTATTTATAAAGGTATAGATAAGGAAAAATAAAATAAGAGGAAACAAAAGGCCCTCATACCGTATTACATGATCTTCACAGGAGTTTTATAATTGTCTTTAATTAAATACATTAGGTTGCAAAGCATGAAACTATTCTATGGAAAAACAAGGAAGAAGAATAATTAACTGGCAATGTGGTTGCATGATCTTTGAAGAAGTTTTGTTATTGGCTTTATCACAATGCATGACAGAACAAAAGTATGAAAGCACGATACAATCAATTGTGCAAATTAAGGTTGGAATCCTAGAACTAAAGCTTAGGATAGATGGAGTAAACAGGATAATAGTAAAGGGAATGGTGATGATTTAGATTCAAATGCTTAAGATAATGTAAGTGGGCCAGTGTTAAAGAGGATTAATATGTGATATTAATTAGAGATATTAAAAAATGATTGAATCAGTAAAGAGTTAGGGAGTACACCAAATATATGGGTAAATCACCCAAGTTTATCTACATATGACCATAGAACGACTACAATACATTATTGCACTTACTGAATTCAAATTAAATGTGTGGAGAAAGAGATGCACAGAAGAAGAATTGGTTAAAAATAAGCAATGCACATGGTAGATCCTCAATTATTCAGGGGCATTGACCTTGATAAATTTCAATGATGCAAAAGGATATACAAAGCCAACCCCCGAATAGGTGGAAGAAGAAACATATGACATTGTCCACAGGATTCCTCCTAGCATCCGACAACATTCATGCACCTATCACAGAAATGACATATAGATGTTGCAACCAGCTGTAACAAAAGTGTTGTAAATGGGCAACAAGTAATAAGATCAATAAGAATTTACTATCATTCTCCTCCACCGAATTAAAGTCCTCTTCTGCACAGATTTTGAGTGCAACCGAATAAAGTGCAAGCTTTTCAAAGGAGACCAAAATTGAACGCTTTGTGATCAATCAACATTCCTTTTTCCCTTTCTCTTTCGCTTAAAAGCTTAACAAGACACCTAAATTCACGATAAGTAATTGAAAAATCTGAAATTGTAACTCATATTGTAGAAAAGAGACTACAAGGACAAAAATCTTCATATGGAGAACAAAATGTAGACAAAAAGAGCGAAAAAAAAGCGCAACTTTAATACAGTAGTAACAAAGAGAGTACCGAACATTTCGCCTAGCAAAGAACAAAAACAAAGAAGGAACGCCCAACAGGAAGAAGCAAACTTACTTCGGGATTAACTATCTGCTTGGGCTGCGACTTCCAGACGGCGCTCCCACCGAATCGGTCCACGGCCTCCTTCACCGACTCGAACGGCGCCGACGTGTCAATCTCCGCCCTCACAGCCGCTGCCCCGCTCGAATGAGACGCCACAGCCCCGTCCATCGGCGGTCCGTCTCTTCGATTCTTCGACGACTTTGCGGTCATTAGAAACCCTAAAAGCCAGTGAAGAGAGCGCTCGAAGAAGAGAGAGAGAGAGAGGGAGAGAGTAAGGGGTAAGAGGGAGGGGAAGAAGAGCATATAGGAAGAAGGTGTGGTTACCAAAGTGCCCTTAAGTAACGGAACTAGATGATAAACCTACGCCATTCTTTAATTCCTATACGTCCAATTGCACTGACTCTGCGGGAGCCAAAGGGGCGTTCGATCAGTGGAACGATGGGTGTGTTTATAAAGCGCGGTACGTTTACTTGATCTGCCCGTTGGCTTTCGCGAATCTCGAGACAAAGAAGACCGTTGGGCACCGTTCAGACGTTGATTAGACGAAGTTACCCTTAAACAATGATCAGTATTGCGCTTTTACTGTGGGCCAGAATTGGACCGCAGTTGGACCGTTAGCCTTAACCATGACACTATAATGGTTATCAAAGGCTTTTGCCGGAATAATTAATACAGTTAAAACATATTTTAAGACAAATACTAACTCATTAATTTAAGTCGAGGATAAATTATTTATTATTATATTTCAAAAAATACTAATGTCAAAGTATCGTCACTCAAAGGGCAAACTTAATTATTAACTTTGATCATGTTGTTATATAGCCTAACACCTAATTATGCCATATCATGGTAAGTCCTTCTTCACTTTTCCTTTTTGATTATTTTTATGAATAGAATATCCAGTATTATAACTATACATTATGGATTACCAAGTGAATTAAAAAAAAAGAAATGCCAGTTTTAATTTCGTAAGTATCATGATCTAAAAAATTCAATCATGCATTGTCTTATTTCATGAGACCAAATCTCCGAAACATCTCTTTTATCTCTTTTCTTCTTCTTCTTCAAGTTTCAGATATCTTTATGATTTTAACTAGTTGAGCAAACATTTCTCATTTACATTGATAAGGTTGAATTCCAAGGTGGGCTACACAGGAGTTATTGCTTTCACATAGTGCTTGCTTGTGCTCCAGTTTACTTCAGAGCAACTCATTATGGAAGCGACATGCATAACTCTCATGCTGATCTATCAGAGCTTAATGTGTTACATCATGTTATGATTGATGAAACCTCACATGGTGACTCTCTTAGTAGTGAACGGTACTGTTTTAGGGTTATGAACAGTAGTATTAGATCTTTTGGTTCAGCACAGGGTTGCATATCCTAACTAAGCTCACATAAGTATTATTTCTCTGGATTTTTGTATGATTTGTGCCTCACAATCTGTCACCCTCACCTCATTACTGCCATCCAACACCAACCTAACCCAAAGTGGTGTTTGTCTGCAGGTACAACAAGCAGGATCAATGAACAGTCTGGAATCTTAACCCCTTGTCATCACCAAATCAAGAGGCTGTGCTAAAGCTCTGACCACTACGGCAATATGATGCCTTTCACTACAAATTTTATTCTGAGAAGAAGCAATCCCGCTACATGTCCATTGCCTATAATTGTAGCATTGCACTTACTTTATGGTTTAGTACACCGGAAGACCTACAAAGTCCTGCATTCATTTGTCTGAGGTCCTGGTTCCTCTCTCTCTCTCTCTCTCTCTCTCTCTGGGGTAAAGATGCTGTCTAGTAGCTCAGATCTTCCCAAAAGCTCTCTCCAAATCAAGCAGGATGACAAGTTCTACACCAGGATCCTCTCCAAGGAGAGCTCAGTGGCCAATCCTTCCTTCAGAGTGTATTACGGAATGGCAACAGGGGCTGTGCCTTTCTACTGGGAGTCTCAGCCTGGGACACCCAAGCACATCAGCTCCACCACTGCCCTCCCTCCCCTCACACCTCCCCCCTCCTACTACTACAGTCCCAGGAACAAGAGCTCCAAGAAGCCCTCCAAGTCCAGCTTCGTCCACGCCATACTCCCTAAGATCAGTCTGATGAGGAAGTCACCTTCGTCGTCCGTCTCCTTATCTTCCTCCTCGGTTTCGTCCTCTTCCTCGTCGACGGCGTCCGGGCGCTCTAACCATCAGAGAAGGCCTTCAAGCCCACAGTCGTCCTTCCAGTCGAGGGGCGACGATGAGGAGTCCGACGACGAGTCCCCGACGTCGACCTTGTGCTTCCGGAGCTGCCAATCGGTGGTGCCTGTGAAGTGCGCGTTGTTGTCGGCGGTCCGGCATGGATCTGGCCATGCAACCTCTGCATAGTAGTCACAGATCAACACCTTGCAATATGCTCATGTAGTTTGGGGTGCAACATTTATGGTGGTAACTAAATCTCATCTGCCAAACAAGAGAGAGAGAGAGAGAGAGAGAGAGGATGTGTAATAGCACAGAAATGTGAAGTGCTTCGTTCACTTCTCAAGAATAATGTGAGACTAATAGTTTGTATTTGCTTAACTCATGCTTCCTCCCAATATCTATCACTGCCGTATTCTCTCCCATATCATACTATTACTGCATGCATGTAAGATGTGATACCAAAATGGAGTTTAGTTTGATGGGATTACCAACATGGAACAATAAGATTACAGAAAAAAACAGAAGAAAAAGGAAAGAAAGATGGCATTGAAAAAGGACAGTAGAGTGGGACATGGAGACACTCAAAAACTGGTCCCAGAAACAGCTAGAGCGGAAAGATCAATGTAGCTTCCACCTCAGTATTTAATTCTATACTAAATGAGTTGGAATCTCACTCTCCTCCTTCATGATGCATGTGGGCATGCATGAGAAAATGAGACCATGAACATTAAAGAAAGGAGTCAAGTCTATGAATCAAGCAGCAGAACCATCTTCTCAGATTTCAGTGTTCTTGCAACCACTGCCCAATCTTGTGCAGCTCAAATTTTCTGGATTACTATGCATCCAGCATTGTCTCATAGGCAGCTTCCTGTCACATGGAGACCGTGATAACAGTGTTCACTGCGACAGCCTAGGTTGATCAAGAGAGAGATGATATGGGATACTTTGGAATTAAATGTTGGAAGTTAAAGTTAGAGAGAAAGAGAGAGAGAGAGAGAGCAGATCCTTGCTGCTTTCTATTACTTCTAATGCTTGGCACATATCATATCAATTCTAACTCATCATCTTTTGCTTTGAAGCCTAGCCTAGGAATGGTGCTTCTTTCGCTTTTGCTTTGTTACCGTCAACATCATGTCGTGGATTTTTTCCTTGTACTCTTATTCTTTTGTCTTTCTTTCTATCTATTTGTATATATTTTGTCTTTCAGATCTTCCAAATATGTGTTACTCACTCTAATTTTGTTGTTTATATCATATTTCTTCTTATCCTATTTTTGATGTTCATCAAATACTTCATCTATTTTTTTTGTGAACTTACAAGGATATAATTCATGAAAATTTAATGGGAATGGAGAGTTGAGCTCTCGAATAGTCCAACTATTTGGAGGAAAGTAAGAGTAGAAAACATTGATTATTAATATAAAATATTTTTAAAAATATATATATTCATTATTATGATTATAAAATTATTTAAGGGTAAAATATATGTAGCATATTCTTGAATGCATCCTACAAATTTAACCTAGAGATCAATATATATATTAGAAATAATCTAAATAGCTGGTCATTATTTGGTACTTCTACCTTTTTTGGTGATAGAATCATTTGTAACGGACAGAATGGACACAAATGAATGAGGTCTTTGTTCTTCAGCCCATGGCTGAGCTAAAGAGATATTGTGACCATCATGAATCTACAACCATAAATCCAAATCATATTGTTGGTCATCATGCCACTACCCAGCAATTCTTGGGACCATTTCTTTTTCTTACTTTTCCTGTGAAAATATATACACTCCTCCAATGGAAACTTTTATCAGGAAGGTACTTGGAATCCAAGTCAACTGCACATATTTGCTGAGATTGATATATATATTTTGTTGGAAATTTTTATTTAATATTTAATTTACTTTTAATAATCATGGTAGAGAATTCTGCTTAAATAGAATATATATATATATTTAAAAATATGAAAATAATTATTTTTCAACAAAAAACTTTATATTTAAAAAGAACTAATTGAAGAATTCTTTTTGAAAATTAAGGATTGGATGCTCCATAAATACCATATATAATTATAAATTTTGTTAAGTACATAATACTTTCACAACTTATAGGAATCTTTTTAATGTATGCAAATCTTAAGTTCTTAATATTTGTATTTACTTATTGATTCTTTTGTTTGCTTGTCTTGAGATACATGTTTTTTGTTTTCTTTTCCTTTTCACAGTAAGTATATCAGACATCTCTTCCCTACTTTCAAGTGAATATGCAGATTGGAGCATACTGACTTTTAGCGTGAAGTCCATTGGTTAAGGCAGTTGAGACAAAATGTGTCACATCATGGATTTATGAAAAGAATAATAAATTAATATTTTATTATTCATAATTTATAAAATATTTTTTTATTATTTTTAGATTAAATTCTTATTTTTATAATAATAAATATTTTATTAACTAGAAAAATGACCGCATGTTCTTGGTAGGGTCAAAGTTTCTTCAACTTAAGTTTCATATCTATGTGTTACATAGTAATAGATTATTCTGAAATTAAATATAAAATAAAAACATATCAGTAACCACACATGTTATTAGGAACCTCAAAAAGATCATAAAAATAATTTTCAATATTCATAAAATATAAATAAATATCAATAATTCAATAATAAAATATATCGATTCATCATAAAACTTATGCAAAAGAAAAACGATGATAATTTTTTACATAATAAATAAAATCATCATCAGCCACATGTAACACATATATAATAACAAAGACGTACGTCACCCGATGGTGCACTCTCTCAACAGCCACATGTATCTCTCACCTGTCCAAGTGGGGACATATTCCTCCCAACAGCAGATGGAGAAACTATCTAACCATCATGTCTAACGGCCTGCTAATCCCCGAAGGGAATCGCCATACCTACCCTCGGCAAGAATACATAAACATCCATAATCATTCATTTACACTCATCCATTCACTCACACATATATCAAGAAATCAATATGATTAAATATTATGAGACCATACTTGATGTAAATCTGCTAGACTATATTCATTGGTGGCTCCGCACTGTGATGGGTCGTAGCTCCTTTCACATGTTGCATTCCCAATATGAACTACTAGTCTAGTCACATCTACTACATGATATTAATCATATCAATATCATAAATATAAAAAAATAGAAAATCAATAATCATTTTGAAATGACATATTCAAATAAAACCTTTAAATTCATCAAATCATAAACACATAAAACATCAATCTCTCAAAACCCTAATTGGAATAGCTCAATTGACTTAAACCAAACTCAATTCGATTATAATCTAACGGAACCAACCTCAAATCCTTATAGAACCCGTCTGGAATCACCTTAGACTAGTCTAATTTAGATTTGATTGATCTCGATTAGATCAAATAGATGTAAACTAATCAAGTTAGTTTGAAATCACCGTAAACCGGCTTTAACTGATCAAACATGTCTGATTTAGTCAATTAATGATCTTAAACCAATAGAGAGGAAGGAAATTAGACTATATCGTATAGTGCTAACCCAAAATGAACCACCCCACTGGAGTCTTGGACGGGTCACATACACTGCATATACCTGTTCTAAGTAATAGGTTGAGGTACGACAGGCTATATAAAAAGAGCGACAATATGTCTAATGTCAATCGCATAACTAGGCAGGCTTAACTTCATTGACTAGGCTAAGCCTCACTTATAAGTTTGACTGAGTTTTACCATTGAACTAGGTTATACTTAGCTTGCGAGTTGGTCTTAAAGACATGAGTTGGTCGTATCTAACCATATGGACTGGGTCGTACCTAGCCGTATGAGCTAACCCATGCCTAGCCATATGGTTGGGTCATACCTTATCATATGAGTTGGGCCATACATGACTAAATGGACTGGATTGTACATAGCCAAATGAGCTGGACCATGCCTAGCCACATGGTTGGATCGTACCTTACCACATGGGTTGGGTTATAGATAGCTGCATGGACTAAATCGTACCTAACCACATGAGTTGGGTCATGCTTGGTCACATGGGTTGGGTCATGCCGAGTCACATGGGCTAGGTTATACTTGGTCATATGAGCTAGGTCGTACATGACCACATGGGCTGAGTCAATTCGATCTGATCGATCAACTTGACTCAAGTCAGATCCCAATTAGACTCCTCTTATCAAATTAGATTTTAATATTTAAAATTATTAAAGAATGACTCAAATTCATTAATAAAAACTTTAAATTCATAATCTTAAATTTAAAACTAATTAATTATATAAATTCATATATAATTCTTGAAAATAGATATAACTGATTAAATAAATTAGAACTATTATGCTAATCCAAAAATAAGAATTTTAATAATTAAATTAATATTAAAATTCACTTAAGCTTAAAAGATCAACATATATTAAATAGTCATTCTAACATCACAAAATAAATATTATTATTTATTAATCATAAAATTTTAAAACTAAAACATCATTATGCATCATAAAATTTTAACAATCTTAACATTAAGATTTCAAAATATAAATCAAAGTTAGTTAAAAAAGAAAGGATCCTACCTCTCTTCAATTATATCATTTCCCCGGAAGTCCTCTCCTCAATCCTCCCATTGTTAGAATTAGTGAGGAACGAAGGAGGAATAGCTCCCTTTATATAGGAGAAGATAAGATCTCCCCAAAAGATAAGTAATAATTTAATTTTTATTTTTAATTTATTTTTATTTTGCTTTCACACATAAAGAAAGTAATATAATATTCATTTCTTATAGTTTACACACAAAAATGGATTGTAAACTATTTACTTCCTAAATATCAAATCACTTAGGAAATAAATCAATTAATAATTTAATTGATTAGTAGAATTTTTAACTTATTCATGTGATTAAGAAAACTAAATTTAATTATTTTCTTGATTATAGTATATAATTATAGAAATTAATAATATATATTACATCATTTATAGTAATTAATCTATGTTATGTGAGAAATTATTGGTGATTACAAAATGGATGGGTCAATGCATTGACTACTTTGACATAAATGGGGTAGGAATCCTAATGCCATGAGAGGCAACTTGTTAACAAGCTTGATTGACGTATAGGAAAAGGAATTCAGTGTGATTGATTGAGCACTACAGGTCGTGGATGCATGCAGCTTCCTACTGGTTAAAGCTTCATTCTGAAGGGATGTCAGAGTAGCAGTATCGCATGAAGTAGTCCTTAGAACAAGCTTGTCAGCTAAGATTAAATCAAACTAGCATTCTAACCCTTCTCTTAGGAAAAGTAAAGGAAGAATAGACAAAGACAACACACTAGCATTCTGTCCACACAAGCCATATCTCTAAGCTTTGCTCACT